CACAAGTTGTGTGCATGGATTATGACCAGCATCCACTTACCAGTAGGCAGCGCCGAGGGAACTATCGGTACTGATGTTCCATCTATCGGCAGGGCCGTAGGCAAAGATTTAGGAGACGAACCGGTAGGTAGCGCCGATGGAATGGTCGGTACCAAAGAGGCATCCGTCGGCAGGGCCGTAGGCAAAGATGTAGGAGACGAACCGGTAGGTAGCGCCGATGGAATGGTCGGTACCAAAGAGGCATCCGTCGGCGGGGCCGTAGGCAAAGATGTAGGAGACGAACCGGTGGGTAGCGCCGATGGAATGGTCGGTACCAAAGAGGCATCCGTCGGCGGGGCCGTAGGCAAAGGCGTAGAAGTATCGGTCGGCAGAGAGGAGAGAACTGTTGATACTGAGGAGGTACCTAATGACAGAGTACTAGCGGGCACCGAGGTTGGAAGTAAAGCGATGGGTGTCTCAGGGGTAGTTACTACGAATAAATTAGCATTCCAATCTCTCGCCCCGGGAAAAAGAAATTATAGAAAAGAAACCAAGTTCCTACCGCCTGGAGAAATGGTAGAACCCGTAGGACTAGTAGGCACAGTATGCACAGCAGTAGTAACACTAGATATGATCGTGTCCAGTCCCGACGTCACACCCAAATTAAGACCCTGAGACGATCCAGAAGCGCTCTTGAGAGAGGAGCCAGAAACCGTAGTTGGTGCGGTGGTTCCAGTTGCTGCTGTTGCCGTATCAGGTAATTGAGTAGAGCTAACAACGGAGGGGAGATCATCCGACTTGGGGGTGGCAGTCGGAGCCGCTATATCCTTGGCTCCGGTTAGAGACGATGAGGCACCAGTATCAGTAGGTGCCCCAGTCTGCTGTGAGGTCAAAGAACCTATGTTCGAAGCCAGAGAATCGATAGCCGTAGTCGGCGTTATAACAGCAGAAGTTGGTGATGCAACGACCGAGGTTACGGGAACAGAAGGCACCACACTAGAAGGGGGTTTATCAGTTATATCAGAGGAAACAGGCGAGACTGATCCCTGTGCCTCTGACCTAGTCGCTCTACCAGTGGTTGTGGCTGATTCTGTGGCCGATTGGCTGGCAGTCGGTTCGGCTGAATCTGCAACTCTGGATTCTCGTACTGTAGGAGGCCCAGTGGTTGACACCGATATCGGAGCTGAGGTTGGTAGACTTTCCACGGTTGTCGTGACCTTAATTACTGAGGTTATAACATCATTGCTCGACGACGCAGGCCGGCTCGACCCTTCTGTATCAGTAGGAAATAAAGACGACAGAAAGCCATCAAGGTCCTTCCTACTAGCGGTTGTAGTACTTGCGTCGCCTGTTGACGGCGGAGGGGCAGGTACTGTTGTATTCTCGACCGCACGCTTAATATGCCTGGGGAAGTAGTACTTTGGTGAATTCGGCACGGGGTTCTTCACTGGGACTGCATTTGCGTGGCCGATCCCGAAAACTGGGCCAAGTGATGAGAGGACTGGTAGCGCAATAGTGAAGACATTTCGAGGGGCCTTCATTTTTGCGACTGTGCGCTCCTCGAACGAGTTATGCACCTTTGTACACGATCCCTCTCTCTACTCCCGGAAAAGAAAAGCAAAATATGAATGTCGGATGTTCTGACTTGGGTTGTCAAATCTCGCGTACCCAACTGTGTAGAGGTCGTGGTGCAATGCTTTTTGAAACGAGTGGACTTGACGATGCAAGAAAAGTGGGCGGTAAAAAGAACGTGGGGGGGCCTGTCAGTGGGAATAGAAAAGGACATGCGTCAGCAGCGGCCACTATGTCCAAGGTCGGGGGGACAGGTGGGTGTTATAGAATTGGGTACTTGTGGGGCGGCACAATAGGAAAGGGGTGCACGATGAAACTCACGGAGTAGAACTCCAGCCAAAGTCAACAAAAACTTAGGCTGATGTCAAGCGTCAAGACAGCCACAAGTTCCGAAAATTATTTCTACGAAACTCTCCAGTTCGATTTATTGAAGGAATAACCGCCGTTAAACAGAATCGTAAATTCGTTTGTTCCGAAAGAACTTGACCACTGCAAACACTCAATGGATTAGCCTCGGCTTCATTGAACTCGAGGGAGGTGTTTCAAATGTAGCAATGTAACTAACTAAACACGAGACGCGACACGAGCGTAGACAAAGAAACAACCCAACCACTTGTATCGAGGGGCACACTGCTTACAATCTGTTAGGACAACACGAACAGCTCGATAATTCAATATTGCCGCCGCAGAGTACCTGTTGCTCGGATGTCGCCTCCAGTTTATTGAGGCTCTAGTTGCCGGAGAGTTTGCGTCGAGATAGCGTCTTTCCTCCACCAAACGTCAAAGGCAAGCGCAGCGCAGCGAGCCGGTAACAAGGAGCGCAGCAGCAGAAGTGACAAAGGAATGGAAGAGGAGGGGCAACGACAAAAGCTTTCCGAAGAGAACTAGAAGAGAGCAAGAAGGAAAAAAAAAAGCAACAAAAGAGAGTGAGAGGGAGTGAAAGAAGGAAGAGAGAGGAGAAAAGGGAGTGTGAGTGCAGGTTAATTTTGCTGCAGAAGAGTGCGACTGGGCGCCAAAACGAGTGTGATGAGCTTGTGTATGACAATGGAGGAGGGGGGGGCTGGAGGTTCGGGAAGTTGGTCAGTGACTATTCCACTCTACCACCATAATACCATAAGACTTATTTAGTAGGCAGGGTAAGAGTTGCTTTGCTGGGACGAATGAACAGTGCGGATTGATCCGTACAGAATAGCGGAAGAATAGAGAGCAAAGCAAGCGATTCAAGCGTCGAGACAAGCAAAAACCGAGCGCCACTAGACCCACTACAATACCAGAGAGCAAGAGGGAGAAGGGCCAGGGGAAGAAGAAAAGGGTAAAAACTGAAGAAAAAAATAAATAAAAAATAAAGGGGAAAAAAAAAGGGAGCAAAAATCAAGTGGTAGTGAGCCGAGAAAAGAGTGATAGGTAAAGTATGGGTTTGTTCAAATGTAACTCTCAAAAGGGGGGCCAAAAAATAAGGATTCGGGAGGAAGAGGAAATGGGAAGAATAACTTACAGAATGCACACTGACGGCGCAAATAGGGAGGTGATGAGCAAACGAAGGTGGTGATGCGCCCGATGGTGACTATGATAATAGTGGGCGGAGGTGGAGACGGGAGAGAGACCTCAATATGGAAGGGGAGAGAGATACAGCAGTAAAACTCTTGAAGCAGAAGACTCTCCAGTGGTAACTTAAGTCGGAGAAGGCAGAGGAAAGGCACGACAAGCGACAGGGCCAAGGCCAGTCAGTGCCAGTGCCAGCAACAGCTAGCTAACACCAAAAATTGGGGGGGGTATATGATACGGCACGATTCTCGAGCACTCCTCCTACAAAGGGAAATAAAGAATCCCCCCCCCGGACAAGAGGCACCAGCGGGAGAGAGGAAAAGTCAAAGCCCGCCGCCCAAGCAGAGAGGAAAGAAAGCCCCAAATGACGGGACAGGTTCACGCGGCTCGTTAGACAGACCAGACGTTTTTAGATCCCTCGGTATCCCGCCTCGAGCGGCTAGCCAGATGGGAATCAGCAAATGGCTATGGATCTTTTGGATCCTCTCTTCTCAGGAACGAACGACAGGACCACGGCCTTGTGTGAACGGAATCGAGACCAGCACCATTCAAACTCGCATACATTCATTCATTCACCTTTGCACAGAAAAATATGCTTTCCCCTTCCCTAAATCCTCCAACATCCAGTCCCTCTCCTCCCCATCAGGGCCATGGATAAGCTGGAACTCGTGCTTCGCCAAATTGGTGAAAGTGGCATTGAGAGCTTCCCCTTTTGGGAGATTCTGTTTCGAAATTACACCAACTTCGACAGGGATGGTGGGGAGTCAAGGTCCAGTTACGAGTACTTGGCCCTGATGTCCCTGAGAGCAGTGGTGAAGGGGGAAATGGGCAAGTAGGGAAGTAGGGAAATAGGGAAATAGATTGGCTGCGGGGATTCTGCATGCGCATCCGGATAGGTTGCACAATCTTCCCGGCTCATCTCCGCAGCAATACTCCACAGCATGCTGCACCATTGTTCTTTTGGCCTGCGAAGAGCCGTTCTTACACGTACTGTACGAGTACAAATTGCCATCCCCCCCCCCGGTGCGAATGTTCGTGCGAGTCAGGGAGACTGGATGGAAAGATGTCGAACTTAAATGCTCAAGGGAGCAAGTTCTACGGCAGCATACCGATGTAAACAAGATTTCTTAGGTCAGCTAACGGCACATTCCACAATGCTACCAAATTGTCTACCAGTAATGATCTATCATTAGCCATTTGATAGGGGGGCATAGCTCTCTCTCACGCAATAACATGCACACCACGCTACTCGTACCTGTGCTTGTACCATATCATATACTCGAGTACGGTATCATACTAAGGAAGAGAAGGCTTTCATCCTGTGAGCCCAACTGGCATAATAATACAAAATAAATAATAATATTATTATGAAAAAAATAAAAATAAAATAAAAATAAGTCACCCCAGTTCAAGGACTGTCCGTCCACTCGAGTAAGCAGAAATCCCGACAGT